CAGTGTAGGGAAAGATTTTTAAAGCTGAAGATGAGAATTAAGGTTATGATTCTGAAAAAAAACTAAAGTTGTCAATAAAATGGGTAAAAAAAGCAATCCTGGCAATAAACGTGTTGATGAACAGGAAAGGAATAAACTGAGGTGAGTTTCAAGACGACTTTTCCTTATTTAAGTTGGGAAATATTAGCTTGGCCAAAAGAACTGAAGTATTAAACAGACAAACCACTTCAGCTCTAATAAAATGAGGCAGAGTTTACATAGCAACAGAATTGGAAATGCGTCTTGTTGACAGAATAGATCAAAAAAGGACATTCCAAAGGATGATCTACAAATAAAACCGAAAAACACTTAGTAAAAAAAAATGTAAATATCCAAATGACCAAATGAGAAATAGAAAGTAAACTTTAACAGAAATATGACAGACCTACATCAAGCTTAAAAAATATGACAAAGAATAGCATTTTATTTGCTATCCAAAACACCTGGAGAAGGAATGAAACACCAGATAAAAAATATCCCGAAAACATTGGCATTGTGGCTTCAGAGTCACTCAGAACACAAAACAAAGCAAGCCATCTTGTCAAGAATAGTACTAATCTTTTAAAGCCACATATGTTAAAAGAAATGACAAAATGTTTAATACAAGAAGTCTCATTTAGAATATCATTATCTGTTGTTACAAGGAACAGTTTATCTGAAGATCTGTCTATAAAATATGACATATAGGCAAGCTGCATATTTTAAAGTTTCCTCAACTATATTTAATGCCATACCACTGACTTGTAACTGTGCAATGCAACCTATCATTTCACAGTGAAATACCTGCAGAATTAATTTCATTGACTAGCCTAAAAAAGCTGCAGACCAAATTTTTTAAAACTTTTACGTGACAGTTGGTACTTTTCACTCATAAATGATGTGTATAACAGGATGACTAAACAAATAACAGCTATGGTAACATTAACTATGTCAAAAAAGATGGACATTTAATTAGAGCTGGGATTTAATTTTATTTAGTTCTGATACGCTGTATTTCTAAATGAAATTCCAATTCTTCCACTAAGAATTAAAGTATGATGAATTCTTTCCTAGAAATCTTGATGTCAAAATATAGAATTAAGGTTTGTAATTGTAAGTATTTTATTTAGTGCTATCTCACAGAAGTGCACATTAGAAAAAATAATGTGTCCCTTACAGGGAAGCAGGTTTCTGTGAACCACGCTTCAAAATTTAAGCTACAACGAGTTACACAACCAATTTTTTTTTTTTTCTTTGCTTTCTTCTGGGGGTTGTACATTGAAATTTGCATGCCAGTTATGTTCGGAAAGATTTTTCTAAGTCAATATTTGAAGGTGGCCATGTCATTATAAACACGCTTTGATTTTCAAGCACATTTCAAGACTATAGTTGTTGTGTATTACTTACGCAGGAAAACTATACATGCTTGAATTGCAAATGAACAGAGAATGAACTCTTTCAGCTTTTCAATTACTCTGAAATAGATGCATTTAATATATGCTGTTCTAAGTAAAGACATGGAGGTTTTTTTGTTTATGAAGGTCTAGTCTAGTTTGAGTATCCCACAGCTGCTCTTCTTATAATGCTGTAGTCAGTCTTATTTGCACATACTGGAATCTAATCCCTCAAAAATGGAGGTATCCAAATAAAATTTGGACATTATTCAATACTGATATAAAAACTGGAAGCTACAAAGTGATATATCTATCTACCAGCAGAGGCTGATGTTTGTTTTTTTACCATACAACTAATTTTATTAATATGACAGAGGTAGTGAAAGATGGGTTTTTTAAATGTTCATATGATAGACTTCTTTAATTGGTTTTAAAACTTACTTGTTGCTTCAGTACCAAGTTCTTTACTCCTTCCATTACAAACTGTGATCCTGTATTCATAACTCGTGAAAACAGACTGAAAAACAAAGTAAAGGCGATACGTAAGACCTTAAAATCTGCCTTCTTAAACTTTGTGCTAACATTCCATCTCATTGAAGTTGATGGGGCTTAAGTCATTCAATTTGGCATGAAATATATTCTTCAAACTACATGGCAGGCAAGTGTATGGGAACATCCCTATAATCTAGCAGCCACATCCTCACCTATCAATAGGAGTTCCAGCCTTTAATCCATTGAACAGGTTATTTTACAACTTCAGTAATGCAAGGATTTGACTGCTGCCGTCAAGGAGGTTTCCTCACCACCAGTTAACAGAGATGCTCAGTGTCTCCAACCAACCAACCAACTTGTAATTTTTCCAAGTGATACAGCGCTGGAATTCTCTCTAGCCATACTGTGCCAGTTTCCTTATGACAGTGCCAGTGCACTCCTGAAAGTAAAGCTGGTAATGAGGACTCAAATCCTCTCAAGCACGGAATGAACCACGTCCCACATCCTGTGTCCTTACCCTTAGCATCTACACCTTTCAACAAGCAGCCAGCCAGCTAGTTTAGGACATTCTAATGAAAAAGCAGTGTGTTCTTCCATCCCTGACAGTCTCCAAGTCCTACAGAACCAGTTTTGAACACACAAGGCTCTTCTTGTCTTCTGCCACTGACTAAATCAAGGCTCAGAATGACGGCTGTCAGAGCCATTTCCTGGTGCTGAATTCTTCTTCCATGAGTACATTTCATGTGTAGATGCAGACGTCACCATTTTAATTTACTTTGTGGATTTAGACACTGATCCTTTTATTTTACTGTGTCCTATGCACTGTTAAGGAGAGATGAGCACTTGTAATTGTCTGTAACTTGAAACTTTTTACAAATAGGGGAATGTTTTATTCTGGGCCTTGTATAGTACTAATCACACTCTCAGTACGACTAAAACAAGCTAAAAGAACCCAAAGACTTACAGAAAATTAATCAAAAGCATACCCCAAAGGTTTAGGTGTAGTGTTTCCATAGCTGGTTGGAGCTGACGCCATCTTAGTGAAAGCCCTGTGAAAGCACGGATAGAAATCAAATGCTTTTCTCATGGCACATACTGCTGTAGAACTCTGGTCATCTGAAAGTAAAAAAACTTCTGCTTCTCCAGCTCTTCCAGGAATTAACTATTTATTACATTCATCCCTCTTGTCTAGAAATACAAAAGTTAAGGAACTAAAAGGAATTAGACTTTACACTGAAAAGACAAATCCTCTCTTTTGATACCATGTAAAACTAGAATAACTGATAGGCAGCATGGCCCTTCGGTATGAACCAAAAAAAATTTGGAGTCTGAACTAGCACAACTTTTCATTTAATTCAGTAGGTTGGTTTTGTCTTGGATCATTAAGTAAACTACTGTGTCACGTTCAACGGTGTTCTGGCATTAATGCAGTTTAGTTGTAAAATAAAATTGGCACGTATTACTGTAACAATGACAGGAAAAAAATAATTCCAGAACGAATGTTTAAGGATAATTTACATGAGCAAAATTATGTTTCCCTTCTTATACACTACACTGTGCAAGAAGTAATACATAACGCTTTGATAACAATGCTGAGTTCTGTAAAACAACCCACTTGTAGCCTCATGTAGGAGAAAAAAGAAATTACTTACTTCCATTGTTTTATGTAGGTCAAAGGAGCCAGATTACAACCTGCATCCGTCAACGCCTTTTTATACTGCTCCAAATCAATCTGAAATTATGAAGTGGAGAATTGTAAAAGGTTGAAACTGCTCTTGTATCTGTATGTGGAAAGGCAAGACATCCTTATCTAAACATTAAATAAGCAGTGTAAAACATTAAGTAAGCAGTGTAAAGTTATAGCATTAACCAAAGTTAAGAAGTAATTGAGTCTTAATCCCACCTCCTACTAAGTATGACAATGTAATTTAAAATGCATTTTGCTAGGAACAGCTCTCACTAAACATAACAGTATTTGTGGAATAAACTCCTCTGCACTTTCAGAGATGGGAAGAGTCTTTTATGCTAGCACCTCTAAAAAAGCTGATGATACTGGTTTCTGTAAAATTTCACAACAGCAAATAAAAAAATTATGAAGAGTTAGTATACATTTATAAGAATACTTTCTATAACAATTTCAATATTCCTACAGTATAATAAATATCTTCCTTGAAATTAATCATCCTAACTTCAAAAGAAATACGAAGACATTGTTTCTTGAATTTTTCAGATATTGGCAAAAGTAGCATTTCTCCATTATTCATCTGTTAGTCAACTGACCCAAATACTTTTGAATATACAAGTATATATATATAGAGAGAGAGAGAGCAAAAAGAGTTGTATTAACATTTTATCTAATTCTGTTGACCAGTGAGGAAGAACAACAGAAAGCATGCCAAGATATGTCCTGCAGTAACTCTGAACCAAATATTTTAAAAGATAATCTTTCTTCTTACTAATCATTCATATCTTTTGAAATGGTGGCTAAAGCTTTGTAAGTAGATTCCTTGATAATACTACAAAATTAATTTAATTTCCTGGGAATTTCACACTTTGCTTCAAATAGAAGCAGAAACACCTACTTAGTGCTGAAACAATACAGAAAATTCCTGTGTGTTAGAATTTGGTGTTGGAAGCTGTAAAGAATACACATACCTCTGAAGGTGCCTGAGTTGAGCTTATGTAGTAGATAAGAAATAATCGCATTTTGTCTTCTGGAGTGCCCGCTGCAATGAAAAGAGAAAAAAACAGTTAAAACCCTACAATTGTAACTAAGCTGCTACGTTAATTGCTCTTCAGGAGTAATATATATATGGACATTCAGACCTTTAGTTATCACAGTAATTGTTTCTATAACCTGTCCTTGTTCAGTGTACAAAATGGTAGGCAGACATTTAGCAATTTTAGTAAAAGTCGGGTTAGGCTGGCTCACTGTTCCTGCAAGTTTACTTACACTTCCCTCTTCTCCCTGTAGCAAATATTGTTCTTCAAATAACACACCAATTAAGTTATGTAGTTGCAGTGTGTTTTATTTTATGTGAGGACTGCAAGAATTAGTGGGGAGTGTATCTATCAAAGAGGAGACTAAAGGAAAACTGTAAAAGTCAGAGCATAGTATTTTTTAGCTCTAGAATTTGTTTATACAGCTCTATGTTGACTGTATTGAGGGCTGCAAAAGCACTTATGTGAACTTTTCATCAGGAAAACAATCCTGAACTTCCAACTTGCCTTCAGGAAGGATTTCACTTCCTGAATCATCTTTTGTCACACCACTCATTGAAGAAAAACACTGCTACAAATTCTTGGGAAGCATTATCAATGGTAATCAAAATTCATCTTCACCAGATCAAAAAAATTATATGGCCATCCCTGTATTACTTAGACTATAACCTACTAAAGCAAATTTTGAACACAATCTTACTTTTTTTCCGGAAGAGATTCACTGTTAGTAAAGACCACAGTTTCAAATTAAGATTTCAGAAGTACTTCTCAAAACAAACATTTTGAATTTGTAATGCAATACCTCATTAAAAAAAGCTTTATGCCTTTAGATATGTTACAACCTTTAATAAAAATGCACTTTCTTGTATTTGTGGGTAAGAAAAAAAACTAAGTGTTTTTTTGGTTTGGATCTTTTTCCCCCCAGTACGGAATGTGAATCATGTCAGCAGGGGATCATCTAATCTAATCTGTAACTTTTGTTTGTAATGTGAGCATATATTTAGCTTGGCAGAAGTTATGAATAAGTGTTGTCATAAAGAACATTTATCACTTCGTACATTTTTTTCTGGGAAATAAGTTTTATTAACCTATACCAGTAAGCCAGAAGGTCAAGAACTGAAGAAATTTTTTAATTATCTAAACCAAAAGCCAGCTTTCAAGGTGGACATCCTCTTGGAGTTCACTTGGGTAAAAAAAACACTTAAACATTCTAATATACAGTTTAACTGACTTGGGTGTCTGTAACTGACCTGGAAACTTGGTTTCCAGCTTGCCAGGTTATAGCTTGTTTCAGTACTCCTGTGATGACTGTGTTTCGGTTTCAAGAGGAATAGGTGGGCACTTCCCTTGGTGGGCCTGTTTACCATTCTACAAAACTCCTGGAAGGTTTGTCTTCACTGGAGTGTAAGTGGTCTCACATATCAATGTGATATTTTGTCTTATTAAAATAAAATTTAAAAAAACTGTGATTGTACTGAGTACATTTTGCTAAAGCTCATGAAAAACACTTTGTTTGGCAAAAGTACTTAACTCTTGACATACTACTGATCTAATTCATAGCTGGTAGAAGACCCAGATCAGTTGCCTGTAAAATGTTCAGTATTTTTTTCTAGGCTATGTTCTGTGACAGCATCAAGAGGGGCAGTGCTAAATGTTCTGAAGAAATTAGCTTGATAAACCTAGAACAGAACAATTTTATTTTCCACTCAAAAACCAGGTGGCAGCCTCTAGGGCTACTGATTAACACTAAAGCAAAGCCAATCCAGTAACAGTACAGTTACTTTACAGTACAGTTACAGCAACATTACCAGTAATTACATCCAGGATGTAATAATATCGACTGAGCGTAGAGCCAGCAAATAGCCCTGAGCTGTAGATTAGTGCAACTGACCTGGTTTGGGGTAAAACAGAGCTGGTTTTGCTCAATGATTTTAACCTCTTAGTTAAATCTCTTCTAATTAACTGCTCTGTCTGAAGTTAGCAGCATTTTCACAAACTGTCTGGCTTTAGCAGTGATAACACTCCATGTTTAGAGTTACTGCCAGGGGTCGGTGTGCAGACCAAGGCCACTGCTAAGCTTGGATCCCACACACAGGGGGGCAGAGAGTACCCCGCACATGTGCGAGGAGCGGGCAGGATAAGTGACCCCAAGATTCACCAGTGGGGTGTTCCACAGCTGGCATAGCCAGTAAAGCTGGAGGATCAGGAGGGGCAATCCCTTCCATCACCCCTTCCATCTCTCTCCTGTGGTCTTCTTCTGGCCTGCTGGCTGCTCCTGCAGAAAATTCCAATCTGGAAAATTTCTCTTGCACAAAACCGAGGAACTTTGCTAATAGGGATGTTGATACAACCTGAGTAACCTTCTGAAGACCAACAAGGGCACCTAGGGAGGAATAACCCCATGCGCCAGCAAAGGTTAAGGGTTGACCTGCTAGAAGGCAGCTCCACAGAGAAGGATCTTGAAGTCCTGCTGGACAACAAGTTAACTGTGAGCCAGCAGTGTGCTCTTGTGGCCAAGAAGGCCAACGGTATCTTGGGGCGCATTAAGAAGAGCATGGCCAGCGGGTCAAAGAAGGCTCTTCTCCCCCTCTACTGTCCACACCTGGAGTACTGTGTACAGTCCTGGGCTACCCAGTTCACAAGAGACATGAAACTAGTGGAGAGAGTCCAATGGAGGGCTACAAAGACGATTAGGGGACTGGAGTGTCTCTCTTGCAGGGAAAAGCTGAAGGGCCTGGGTCTGTTTAGCCTGGAGAAGAGAAGACCGAGAAGTGATCTCATCAATGTTTATAAATATCTAAAGGGTGGGTGTCAAGAGGATGGGGCCAGTCTCTTTTCAGTGGTTCCCAGTGATAGGACAAGGGGTAACAGGCACAAACTAGAACACGGGAAGTTCCATCTGCACATGAGGAAAATTGTCTTTCCTGTGAGGGTGACAGAGCAGTGGAACAGGCTGCTCAGAGAGCCTGTGTACTCTCCTTTGGAGATACTCAGAACCTGCTTGGAGTCCTGGGTAATACGCCCCAGGTGAACCTGGTTTAGCAGGGGGTTGGACTATATGATCTCCAGAGGTCCCTTCGAACCCCTACCATTCTGTGCTTCTGTGATACATCAGGCTTGGAAAACAATTTGCTTTATATCGCAATCTAAAATGGACAAAAAATGAGGAATCATGTAAAAAGCAACTGATCCAGTAGAAATGCTACCAAGAATAATAATTTCTGCTTTCATATCTAACTTGATGCAAACATGAAAGCTAGAATCAAAATGAGCAGTTTTGTACATGAACCATTAATTCTGAACATGGAAAAGGATTAGTTTGTGTTGATGCTTAAGAAAAGTACAGATTATGTATATATTCTTCTTAGCTTCGAATTACCAATCAATGTCTGTACTGAATTACAGACTGATGCCTGACATTAGTTTTTCTGAAAGTCTGTTAAGTTTCTAGACGTGATCCAATGAGATCTGCAAAATTTGAGGTGAGACTTCTACCAACCATGTACTATTTCTTCTACTGCCATTTGATTATATAGCACAGACACTAATAAAACATTATTTTTAAAAGTCAGCAGGATTTATAAATATTCTTGCCATAAATATGAATCATTACACAAACTCCAAGCAGACACTGTGTCCAGTATGCAGCTACAAGACTACACACATAAGCATGCAATAACAAACCAATTTTTTTTTAGAGCACACTGTGAAAAGAGCAGGAACCCTGGGTCTCTCAAAGCTCAATGTTTGCCAATATACTTGCCAATATGCAGCCAAGCCAGTGGTTGTAACTCAAGTTTTACAATCTTGCTCTGCAGGTAATTTTGTTCCAGCCAACTGGTATCAGGATGTATTGAAATCTGTCAGAGGGCTGTGACACACCTCAGGTTGTGAGAAGCTGAAACAAGAGTTGGTGCTATGACACTATGAAAAGCTGAGAACCCATTCTGGTCTCAACCTGTCACAGGGTCCCCTAATGACTGCTGCTAACAGGGAATCTGAGTATCACCCCATGTGTAAAGCTCCTGTATAAACATATGGATGAACCACATGTGAAACAGAAGCTGGGCTGCATTGCTCTTGGGTGATGACATCAGACATGCCACAGCTGCATCAACACATGGAAAAAAAACTTCAGGTAAGTCTCTCAGTCAGCTGACCAATCCTCTCCCATCCATCTTTTTCCTCACATAAGCAAGAGGTAGCTACATTAGAACCCTATGATCTAACAGAATTCTGTGAAATTCCCTTTTTCATTCTGTTTGTAAGTATATATTATACAGGTAAGATTTTAAAGAATCAGTATTGTTCAGACCATACAATTCCATGCTATACTAAAAAAAATTTGGAGAAACACAGAAGTTAAAATATTTTGAACTTCAGAAATAAGAAGTTAGGAAAGGATTTCAGTTGTGCTGCAGAAGTTGCCAATATTTTGCCTATTACTCAGCAAAAATACTAAACTCTGTAGACTGTTACTAAAATCAATAAAAACCTGTTTTCTTTACAAGTCTTACAGAGGTTGCACATAAGATCTTTACCAGCCCTTAAGTCCCAGCAGGTACACATTTATTGCATATCTTAACAAATTTTATACCAAGTTCAGACTTAAAGCACTCACCATCTGGGTCAGAAATCATGTCCAGAAGAGATTTATCCAGAGTGGATTTGCTCATTATTTTTTCCTCATACTCGAAATACACATCCAGCTTTCGACTCTGTTGAAGAATAAGTGTTAGGGTTAACTCATTAGGACTGTGCAAAAATATTTATTTCTTCTTTAAAACGGTACATAGTTTAGTTATAAAGACTGTTTAAAAAAATTATCTTTAAATAAATTTTAAGTTAATATAACCAATGCTTGCATTATAATATGCTTTTATTAACTCTCAGAACATCAACGCTTATGAAATTCTCATTTTAAAAGTGGAAATGCAAATTAAGAATGGGATGTCAAACATGCAAATATTAAACTGGAAGAGGAGCTTTGTTTTCGCCTATGGTCTTGCCATAGCTGAAAACTACATGCCACCATATGTATTATGCTGTAATAGGAAAAAAAAGATTCAAGTGAGTATGTAGAATTTATGCTGAACCTCAAGTCTCTCAGTCAACGAGGCAATTACTCTTATTCAGAAAAATGTGGGAAATTCCTAAATACATTAAGGTGTCATCCCAGCGAAAAGTCGGCAACTGCCAACTTGGGCTGGTACTGAAATAACTACCTCAGATCAAAGGCTTGCAATAATTCATTCATATCAAAGATGGAGGACTTCATAATTAGATTATCTTGCTAACCCTGCAAAAGAAGTCTCTCATTCTACAATGTCACACATGTAAATCAAACTGTGAAAATCTTTTACAGCAAGGATGGCACAGGGACTGCACAAAATTAATGAGGCAAAAGCTTTATGGAAGATGTCACATGACCACACACCTGACAACTGCATAGCAATTCATCTGCACAAGCAGCCAAGCTTTGCACTTCTCCATTGTCCTATCATGAACTTACAATCCAAAGATGGAAAAATGCATTCCAAAACTTATTTTAAAAACTTCTGTTACCTCAGAGATCATTCTGAGCGTCTGAACATCAAAATGCAGCATCACAACAAACGTTACAACTACGCAGCTTAGAAAACCTTAACATCTGGTAACTAACTAAATCCTGGTGTTTGGACGTGTTCATCAGTGTACTGGCTCAAAGAGGAGACTGGCAGAATGGACCTCTACCTCGTTGCCTTGGAAGTCTTTCAGCTCCACATCATACCCGTTAGGAGACTGAAATGATAGTGCCAGAGTGAGGTAAGAGCCACCAGGGCTTTTCTTTGGTTAAGAGATTCAGGAAATTTTGCCTGAGAATGCCAACCTATCTAAAACTGCTATGGTACCTTCCAAACCAGCACACTGGTTGCTGTAATGACTGGAACAGAAAAGCTTTAGAAATCTGTTTTTCACATGTTTTTGAATTATACTAAAATTATTCCTGCGATCACAAATCAGGAAATGGATTTTTAAAAAGTTATTTCACCATCTCTCCTCACCCCCCAAAGGGGAAAAAAAAGGTAATTCTCTAGCCTAAGGATATTAGGATATTTGATCTTCTGAGTATTGTAAGCTCATCAAAAAGAATTGGAGATGAAAATACAAAATAAATTAAGAGCTAACTCACAAGAATATTTTTATATTGAAAGCTTTTTGGCAATTAAAAGTTTAAAATACTTTTCTCAGACAAAAGGGATCCAACAAGCAAAAGGCTATCTAGAAATGTGGAAACTTTATCTTACTAAGATCAATGTGTTATCGTTGAATTTTGCAATGCCCCTATTATATTAGCTGGTGATCTGTTTAAGACAAATTTATTCAGAAGGCATGTAAATATACAATACAAAAAAAGAGATTCACTAACTATATTTACAGATCAACTTTTAAATAAAGTGATGTAATTCAAACATGAGACATTTTCAATGGTAAGAACAGATTTACAGTGCTAACTTACTTGCAGCACAAACTAAGCAAAATTTTTCTCTATTATGTGCAAATTCATGACTTTTTGACTAA